GCTCTGGGTCTCCGTCAGCCACATGGGGTTTTCCCCTTGGGCTCCCTTTGGGGACCCCACGGGGCTCTCTGGGTCCCCAAGTCATCAGGCCAATTATGCCGTCTGCTGGTTGGAGAATCCCATGGAAACATCTCAGGATGCCTCAGAAACATGAATTTGTTATTAAAATATTTGAACCTGGGGCGCCTGGGCGGCTCAGTGGGTTGAGCTCAGATCATGATCCCAGGGTCGTGGACCCTGCTTGAGACTCTCTCTCGCCCTCTGCCCCTCTCCCCTGCTTGTGCGCCCACTCCCTCTAAAGTAAAAGAAAAAACAATTTTGAACCTGGATCACATTCAATCCCATAACGTAGTGGTGTGCTCAACGACTGTAGAATATTGTCTCGTCCGAGGAGAAGCAGGACGTTTTAAGACCGCAGAGCCCAGAATTAACAGCTTGGAATTTTCGCCCTTGCTTGGCTGCTAATTGACTTCAGCCATTAAAGGGAAGGAAATTCTGGCAAGTCCTGAGGTCCTTGAATGAGCAAAGCTGCGGCCACGTTCAGGTCCTTAGCGGTGGGCGTCTGGCGAACCCATCCTTTTGGGAAGATGGGTTGTTCAATCAGAAGGTTTGTAAAAGCTTCTGTGGTTCCCGAGCGTAGTGTCCGTGAATGGCTGCACCTCACAATGGACCCACTTGCGAAGGCCACGCAAACCGGCCTCCACGCCATCGAATCCCGGTTTTCTCGGGAAACACGGTGCAGCCCTGGCACCAGCCTCCAGACCTGTCCTCGAGCTGCCCTTTCCTCGGTGCTGCGGGTGTCGGGGCCCAGGCTGGAGGCAGAATCGCCTTGGCGGGATCACCTCGGGATCGTCGGGCTGCGGAGGCCGCGGGGTCAGGGCCACCCCCGGACGCTGCCAGCTCCACACGCACAGGGCGTGTCCAGGTCACGCCCTCCCCTTTCCCACGTCCTGCGGGTACGTCCACGGGGCCCACAGGGTCCCCCACCCGCGGCTCAGGTCAGAGGCGGCAGCTGTGTGGACCAGAGGCCACGAGCAGGCAGCAGGGCTGTGGCTCCAAGTCCCCACCTGCCCGAGTCAGCCCCGAATAATCCCTTCGGGTGCTCACACCCGTCGAAAAACTGTCTTCTTTTTTCTACTGTCCCCCAAATGCCTCGTTTTGCAGAAAACGCACCTCAGGCTTCCATCCATAGCTCACTGGGAAGCAGCCCCCGCCCTGGTCGGTGCATCTGTTCTGTAAGGACAGTCCATTGGTCTGGCCCGAAACCGTGAGCCCAGGCAGGGTGGCTGCGGCACCCGGGGCCGAGGGACCCTCCCCGGGCTTGGCCGCCACGGCCTCCCGCGGTGCCTCTGTGGCCTCCCGGGCTGGCCCATCGGGCAGGGGCACTGCGGGCACTCAGAGCTCAGGCCCGAGGGGGACGAGGGCCCCCCAGGGGCAGGAAGCAGGGTTCTCCCCCTGCAAGGAGGTGGACGGTCTCAGTCTCACCTAAGCGAAGGGGACTCATGGCAGGAACGCCGGGAGCTTGCCCAGC